CTTCAATTAAGACTATAATTTCAAATTGAGTTAGAATTTGAATTTTGACAAATAGATGTGATTTGCATTCTTAATTATAGTAATGCAATTTTAAAAATAATTAACAAGTATGTCATCTAAAAATAATGCTTGGATTGGACTTGAATTTACCCATACCAATTGAGCCTCAATCTAAATTTAGACAAATGGATACCATTTGCAATCCCAAATCCTAATAACATTAATTTAAAGTCCATTTGAATTTAGAAATAATTACCAATAAATTTTTAAAATTAATTAATAAAAAATTAAAATTCATAGACAAATATTTCACCTATAAATATGTGGCTTGGATTGGACTTAAACTTGACAAAATCAATTGAGTCTTAATTTGAATTTAGACAAATAGATACCATTTGTATTTTGCAGTCTTAAATTTTAATTAAATTAAAATCCATTTAAATTTAATAATAATTACATCGATAAAATTTTAAAATTAACTAATAAAAATTTAAATTTCATAAACAAGCAGTTCACCTAAAAGTATTGCTTGGATTGGACTTGAACCTAACCATCTCCAAAGTTGCAAATTAATAACCAATTAAGAATGTCATAGGCCATAGGGCTCCTCCTAGCTTCTACTTAATTAATTTCTCTTAATATATTCTATATTATATTAGGTTTATATTATATAATACCACATTTTTTATTTCTTATAATTATATATAACTGGGTTTATAATCAGGTATCGGGAACGGCTACCCATGTCAAATAAAACCAGGTATCAAATATCAGATATACCCTAAAGTCAAAACTCAAACCCATCCCAAACCCTATAAGATTTTAATCTAAAATCCCATACCCGTCCCAAACCCTATAGGATTTTGATAAATGGTTCCTATTAGGATCGGGACAAGTCAGATACCTAAAAATTCCTACAAAATTGTCATCCCTAGATGTATTTCTGTGGCCTCATGAAGGTAGAGTCATAGCAAGAGTTCACTTTGCTATGACACTGTCATAGTGCACGGCTGAAAAAAAAAAAAAAAAAAAAAGATCATGGCCTTATATATACTGCAATGGCTCCACCAATAAGTCACTTCATTTGATTTAAGGTGGAGCCATGACAATAAATCAGAGGTTTTGATTCTGTTATTTTAACAACACATTAAAGGCTTTGATTTGGTTATTTTAACCCTGCATCTTGACACTGTCATAGCAAAAGTGGTTTGTTTTAAGAAACCCTTATATAACACAAGTACATTCAACATGATGAACAGGACATAGGAGATATCTCAGTTTGCGCGTGGGATCGCATCTTTCTTTGTGTTAGATGATCGATGAAAGGTAAATTTCATCTGGAAAACGATTTACAGAGACAAGGTCCACATGTATATCAACTCTGAAGGAAACGACACATCAGAATCTAGAGCAGTCATTGTTTGGTTGGTTGTTTGGATGTGCCAGAACAAACCACAGCAACACATAATGCAAGAATAAGAAACGATTATAACCTTTTTCTATGTTGTTTGAATCTTCTTGCTTACCTCATCACACTGGTTTTGCTCTAAACAAAGTTTAACTGCCCATTACAACCATGGATTACATCGGCTGCCAATGAGTTAGGCACATCCGATTGGCCCAAAATTGAGTCGGCCCAATTATATAGGGCCTACGTCTGCATTATGTGTCCTTATTGTAATTGGGTCGAGATAAGTTTATATGCAAATTGGTATACTACAAACATATGTATCCCCATTCTTCTCATGATAAAACTTGTAATATTAAATATTATGGTGTCGAAATGTGTCAATTTAATAAATAAGTAGGTTTTTAGTCAAATTACAGATAAAAAGATATAGCTGTGTCAATTATAGTTGGGTCTTCACTGGTCAGACCCCACAAAACTGTAGGGTCTGGTCTGAAACTGTTTCTGCACATTTACTTATTGCATCAAGCATTGAGTTACCGGTTTTTGGAAAATCAATAATCGAAATTGAACCAGTACTACCGGATTTTTTGGAAAACCATTAATACTAATTTTTGGAAAATTAGTAACCGAAACAGAACCAAAGTCCATCGATCAGTTAACCAGTTGATCAGTTTAGTTAACTGCCGGTTTAGTTAGTTGGTTTTTCAGTTTTTTTTTGATTTTTTATAATATATTATAAACAACAACTGATATATATATATATATATATATATATATATATATATATATATATATATGTATACTCATTGATTCGATTAACCATTAATTTTTTATACCGACTAACTGAAACCAAATCGATGGATTCGGTTCGATTTTTCGAATTTTTATGATCACCCTATACAGACTAGACCCAGCCTATTGACAGCACTGATGGGTCACCAAGTCTATCTATAACCACGAGCCACATTGCATGTGGTAATATTGGACTACCCTTCTCTCAAGTTTCATTCAAGATGACGACTAGACCACTTTTAAATTTTAACTATTATATGGTCTAATTAAAAGATGAAAGATTGTTTGAGACTCACGTTCTGCCTTGGAACTCAGGGCACCGCCCAAGCTGGTCACTGTGGATAGCGATGGACCAGACCCTGAGTTTCTTTCACTAGAAAGCCAAGGACAAACCTATTGCTTGATTGGTCATGTTTTGATTATGACTTGTTATTTCTGAAGATTTTAGCTCCAAAGCATTCCAGAAATACGAAGTCATTGTGGAAATCATGCAGTCAAAATAAACTCCAATCTGTATTTAGTTAATATCTATATACATGAAGAACAGTTACGTAAATACTCTCTTCGATCAGTAAACCCAATGTGTATTCTGGGCTTTCATGATCACTTTCTGCATGAATTGGTTGTGGTATTTCCGCATGTCTCAGACTCTCAGGCATCTAGCTATTATTCCTATCAGCTACAGAAAAATGAGGGTGAAGCCTGATCCTCCATAATGAAGCTTCAGTCTTAATCAAGTAGGATTGGGATTATTAGCATTAATTATCTTTATTTAAGCCAATGAAGAAACCACTCTTCTAGAGGAATCTGTCGTTAATGCTCAAAGATGACGTCACGGGTTTCAAACAACACTTAAGGACAGATTTTAGGTTATGTTTGGTCCTTTCGGATACATATTTTTTCCTGTTCTCACAGTAGCAAATAATACAGTGGACATCTCCTAACATCCCACGTTAGATTTGTTGGCTGTTTGACAACTTTTCGTGGTTCTGAATCTTTTGATCAGTTATCAGGTACCGAAATGCATTGGACCTGACCTTGCCTTCCATGCCAGGAAATCCAACAACTAGCTTTTCTTTTTGAAAAAGTGCTTCTATACTCTTTTCCTTACTGTTAATTAGGTTAATTTACTCAGAGCATTAATCCTTGATTCTAAATCCAATATTATGCCGACGCCCATTTCAATCCAACTGAAATGGATTCATCTAAATGACCCTCTTACTCTGAAGATGTCTACTTTGAAAAGCATACATTATGTTTAATTAACTCAAATTGAAAGGGGAAAATGACATGAGGCAACAAACCCGGGCACATGGTGGATTGACTCACTGTTCCCAGAAAGGAACAAAGAAGGGCTTTTACTCCAAAAAGTTATAAAAAAGTAAAAAGTAACAGTGGACCAAACACAAAAGTCCATTGCTATCAGAAAGGATAAAAGTAGTAGTGACTCATGGGGCATATATTCATCCCGCCATACAAACTTAGAGTCACCCAATTAAGTTGCGAAATATTTCAAAGTGATCACAACTTTGAAGGTCTTTCTCACTAGGAGTTGTGCACTTTGGAGATCTTTCAATTCTCACTAGTTCAGGTGATCTCCTATATATCCTTAATTTGTTTTATTCCTTTCTTATTTTCTCCTTCTTTACCACAATCCATGATGATGATCATCATCAAATTAACCAGAGTGCAGCTTGCATGACTTTGGCTAGCACTTGTTCTTGTTTATATTATTTTTGTACCTCTTCTGTTATAGTTTGAGCTTGAAAGTTCATTTTGTACCTCTTCTGTCTACTGTTAATAGAACTCACATATATATGGAGGTGAAGCAAGGATCTGCTGCAGTGACAAAATTTGAGCAGTCGCAGGATTTCAGTACTGATACTGGCGGTGAGACTGCATCAAGACCGACGATGATGCAAGAATCTATCCCCATATCCTCAAATAAAGCTAGCAACAAAAGTTGGAGCATAATTGGACTGGTAGATGGTGAACCTGATGAGGATGGAAATAACACAGGAAAGAAGAGAAACCTTGGAATAAAAATGGAATCTCCAAGCCTAAAACTTGCCCATAAAACGAGATCATCTAGCACCCAGATCAATGTAGATATAGATGGACTTGTTGGTAATGCCACTGGAAGCTTTAGCGAGATGAGTTCCATGCACAGTAGTACTGCTTCTAGCAATCACTTAGGCTTCTTTTCAATCACTGGAGACACTATACTCTCAGATGATATCTCAGATATTCAGAGATTGAACAACACAAAACGCAGTAAGTACTATCTTCTTAATTAACATACTGTGCAAGCTAACATAATTTGAATTGAACAATAAGAAACTGGGCCAAGTGTTCAGTTAATTCTAGTGCTTCCACTACTATATACTATTTTCCTTTCTTTTTTCTTTTCCAACGGAGATACTTTTACTGGGAGCCAATTTGCACTGAAAATTGCCTTCAATACCAGATGCGAATGCTGTAGATGACTTCCCTTCATCTTTTGAGGAAGATAAAAAGTCCTGCGGTTGGAAGAAAATTGAGACAGTACCTACTTTGCCCATATTTCTGAAGGTAATGTTTAATGCTATACTAGAGATGGAGATGGGCTCCTTTAGTTGAAAATTTTCAAGTTTTCACAAATTCTGTAGCTCTAGGGTGTAATAAGAAATGGTTTAACTTCCATGGCTATTGTCTGCAGTTCCAGGATGTCAAATACAAGGTAGTTCTGAACAAGAGAAGAAGCTCGGATGCTCAGAATTACATACTCCATGGGATTACGGGTTCAGTACAACCGGGAGAGGTCCTTGCTCTGATGGGACCCTCAGGTGGTGGTAAAACGACTTTACTTAATCTCCTCAGTGGAAGGGTGACAACGAATGATGCCGCCAGTAGCATTACTTACAACGATCAACCATATTCCAAGTCACTAAAGCGAAGGTATACGTATGTATATGCTTAGTTTTGATATGTAAAAAACCATACATACACGTATGCAAGGATGGATGCATGCATTGATTTCTAGTAGTCATGCCTACATGGGATGCATGCAAAGTGATAAAAGAGCCTGACCAGACAATCTTGGAATTTAATGTATCCATATATATGGTGCGTGTCAAACTATATATGAGATCGATGAGATGCTAAGGACAAAATCATGCAGTAAAGGAGAAAGTAGAACCTGAAATGAGAAAAGAGTCTGTTTGAGACTTTAATACTATTTCTATGTGGCCAAGTCACAATCAAGTGATTACTAAGAGATTGAATGGTATATATGATCACAGGATTGGTTTTGTGATGCAAGATGATGTTGTTTTTCCTCACCTCACGGTAAAAGAGACTCTAACATATGCTGCTCTTCTACGTCTTCCCAAAACACTTACCAAACAACAGAAAGAAGAAAGAGTCATGAATGTTCTAAGAGAACTCGACCTTGAAAGGTGACTTTCTCAACTTTTGTGTCTGTTCAGATTACTGTGATATATATTAGGTAAACCATGACAGATTATCAGAAGCTACCACAAATCAATTTCATCCAAATAAACTTAGGGAACCACATTCAAGGGTTTCAATGACTCATTGACTCCCAAGTCCTAATACTACATACCAATTTTCATATCACACTACTAATGTAATATTTAGGCTTCTGATTCATGGTATAATCCTATTATCCGCTCAAAAAGTCATTTTTGTGATATTGTTGTATAGTAAGTAGGTTTAGACTGCAAACTACAGAGAAGGATGTCAAGTGTTGCTTATAAATGTTTATATTATTGAGGCACAAAAATGAAGTTGTAGCCAAAATAGGTCAATGAAAGGGAAGTTTAGTTAGTTAGTAGTAACTCCAATATTGCATGGATATGGCTACAGGCTTCATCCTTTTACCTGGTTTATTGACACTGAGATGCAACAAAAATATGATTTGATGCCCTGATAAGTTGGGTTATTCCCATTTGTTCTTTTAGCAATGAAGTTCCAAAAACCATCCAAAAGGCAGTAGTTTTTCTTTTCCATGCGAAGACAAGGATTTTGCATATGTACATACTGTTACATCCACATCAATGCTTAACTTAGCTTGCCTGTTTCTCACGGCAGACAGGATGGAATACCATTTTCACAAAACATAAGGCTGTGTTTGGTTTGGAAGAAAATGTAGGAAAAGGAAGGGAAGCAGAGTCAATTGGACCAGATTTGGTCTTATCCAATTTGGTCCATTACAGATGTACCAGGTCCAGTCCAATCCTATGAATACTTTGGACCATTTTGGACCAATCCAATTCAATGTCTGGACCTCCAATCTGTTCAAATTGGTTTTAATTTAGATTGGCTCCAACTTCCAGCCCAAACCTGGTCCATTGACATTGGTTCAATCCGACCCAATCCAATATAAATCTATTACGGATGGACTAGGCCCAGTCCAATCCAATAAATACTTTTGGACCATTAAGTCTGGGCTGGTCCAATTCAATATGTCTTATTAATCCGTCCAAACACAGCCAAGTGAAAGGTACGCAAGGAAAGAAAAACAAAAACTCAGGGGGAACAGGAAAGGGAATGTACAAAGAATAACCATTCAACCTAAAAGCTTAAGCAGGTAAGGTCCCTGAATAGATTTTTATTCTCTAACACACTCCTCACACAAAAAAACCATTGGGCTTGAAGTGTGGACAAGCACAGCCCCACCCATACCTTGTGCTGAAATTTAATTAATTATATATAATGGGAACGATGAGGATCCATTAGGCATGCAGAAATCAGCATAGGTAGTTTAATGAAGTTTTTAACCATCAGTTGTAAAGCAAAACAGTTATTGAAATTTTGTTACAGGTGCCAGAATACAATAATTGGAGGGGCATTTGTTAGGGGGATTTCAGGTGGTGAAAGAAAAAGGGTCTGTATTGGCAATGAAATCCTGCTTAACCCATCACTTCTTTTCTTAGATGAACCAACATCAGGTCTGGACTCAACAACAGCACTCAGAATAGTTCAAATGCTACAAAGCATTGCAAAGGTAAAAAAAAAAAAAAAACCATGGAACTGTTTAACTTTCTGTAATTTAGAAAGGCATCATAGCCAAAACTCATAATGTGGTATCATAGGCTGGAAAAACAGTAGTGACTACAATTCATCAGCCATCAAGCAGACTGTTCAATAAGTTCGATAAGTTAATTCTCTTGGGTAGAGGCAATACATTGTACTTTGGAAAAGCATCTGAAGCTATGCAATATTTCTCCTCAATTGGTTGCTCTCCTCTCATAGCTATGAACCCAGCAGAGTTCCTGATTGATCTTGCAAATGGGAACGTAAATGACAAATCAGTTCCATCTTTATTGGAGGACAAAGTGTTATTCCGCCACAGAAACTCTGAAAAGCAGAATGGAAGGCTTTCCCCCACTGATGTCCATCAGGTTCTTAGCTAATAATGATGGCCTTCATGTTGTTTATTTGATTACGTATTCCTTTGCATACAATGCCTTGAAATATTTTTGCACTTCATTTTCTTTGCAGTATCTTGTAGATGCTTATGAAACAAGGGTTGCAAGAAAAGAGAAGAGGATGCTTCTAAAGCATGCGGCAGTTGATGGTGAGATAGAGAGTAGGTCAAATTCAAGAGAATGGGGGGCATCTTGGTGGGAGCAGTTTTCAATTCTTTTCAGGAGAGGCCTGAAGGAGAGACGCCATGAATATTTAAGCTGTGTGAGAGTGACCCAAGTAATATCAACTGCAATAATAGTAGGATTGCTCTGGTGGAACTCTGATGCTGCATCCCCCAAAGGGCTACAAGATCAGGCAAGTATCGCAATCTTCATTGTTTTAGTTAACTAGGATACCTGGTTAAATTTCCTTTCTATCATAGTTTTATCCAAGTTTTACTATCTTTTGAAGTCATTCATTTGATTGGAATACAAGGAGAAAAAAATGCAGGCAGGGCTGTTGTTCTTCATTTCAGTGTTCTGGGGTTTCTTTCCTGTATTCACATCCATCTTCGCATTCCCACAAGAAAAAGCCATGCTAGGAAAAGAGAGAGCAGTGGGAATGTATAAGCTCAGCGCATACTTCATAGCAAGAAACGCAAGTGATCTTCCTTTAGATCTCATTCTTCCTATTGTCTTTATGGTGATAGTCTACTTTATGGTGGGATTAAAGCATAGCATTTCTACTTTTTCCTTGAGCATGCTGACAGTTTTCCTCAGCGTTGTAGCAGCTCAGGTACCATTGCAAAAAACATGGTAGTCTACCTAGATTCTGTACCAGAATGAAGCTGTAGACATTGCAATTGACCACTGGTTATATGCAGGGTCTGGGATTGGCCATTGGTGCAGCTTTCATGGATGTAAAGAAAGCAACAACACTGGCTTCAGTTCTTATTATGACCTTCATGTTAGCTGGAGGATTCTTTGTGCAGGTAATAAGCTCCTAACCTGTACAAGCTGAAAGATCTATTTAAACAAAATTTGGGATACTATATTGAACTTTTCACCCATTTTTCTTCAAATATGGATGCAGAAGGTTCCATCTTTCATGTTGTGGATACGCTACATCTCTTTCAACTACCACACATACAGACTACTACTTAAGATTCAGTATGGTTGCTCCTGCTCGGGTTTAGATCATAGATCAGAGTCATTTGATTCTCCCTTCATTAGACAAATTAAAACTGATAATGGTGGAAAGGAAGTGGGCGCCATGATTGCAATGATTTTTGGGTACAGATTATTGGCATATATCTTCCTACGAGGAATGAAACTTAGGAAAACAGCATAGAACACTCATAAACAAATTAACAAAGGCATTAATATCTGCAAGCCAACCTCTAGGGGAGTGAAATTGTTTTTTCCTTTTTTGTCTTCATAAATATTCATTCTTACCTAATAATATTATTGTGATGTTCTTTAAGGAATTAGTGATTCTTCTAAATATGACAGTTCTGAATTTCATGAGATGACTTATATATATGAACAGTCTGCCAAACTCTGATTAGACTAACATTGTCAGAGATGTTGGTTAGAATAGTTATTGCAGATTCTTCTTTTTGAACATGGGCGTAGAGGAGAAGAGTCAAATTGGTGAAACAGCAACAATGCTTCTTTATGGAGCCCCATGGGCAACAGAGAATATGAGCTACTTGTTAAGTGTTATGTACTGAAAAAAGAGCAGTTTTAAAGAGAATACTTGTGTAAACAAAACTATCTGATATGCTTGAGATTGGGGCTTTATTGGTTCCACTGACAATACATGATGTGGGTACGAGTGTTATTAAGGGTAAAAAAATCATGATCTATCATGGGTTAATCATCCCCTTTTGTATGGTTTTAATCTTAAGCAGTTGCATTATTGTATCATTTCTTCATTTTAGATCTTCTTCACCCATAATCCATGGTAAAGAGCTCTTATGCAAATGGGTTTATTTTTAAAAGTACTGTTTGGTACAAATTACTTGAAAACAAAAATATAATCAGAAATAAGTGACTAACTTGATTTTAAAACCTGTGAATTTGATTATACTTCGATGCAAATCCATAAACCTATGAATTATGGAATGTTTTAGGAACTTACGTACCCTCAACTTTCTGTTTCTCTCTTTTTATGAAAACCAAAAGCAACTCTAGTAGTCTATTTCTTGGTGGATCTATGTTTGGTTTGTAAAGAAACTATAAGAAAAGATCACAAGAAAATGAATTAAGAAGAAAAGTAAAGAATTACCTCCCATCCAGTTGTACTATTCCTCAACTTTGTTACAGGTGCTCCTGCAAGATCCAAATGTATTGCATGAAACTGCAAAACATTTCTGTGTAGTCATTTTGTAAATTAATGTAATAGATAAAACTACAAAAATAAGAAAATAGGAAGAACATTTTTGTTCTTTAGGATGGAAAGGTCAACTGCAATGATCTAGGTAGCAGCTTCACATTCCAGATAATCAAGAACATGAAGATTCTAGATATATAGAAGATAGGTCTGTTACCACAATGACAAACAAATGGTGAGGGATTTGCTCTGTGACAGTAGAAGCCAATTTTGAGAAGAAACAACCCAGTTTGTCTATGGCCTGGTTTAGTGGTTAAACCCCTATAAGGTTTTCTTTTGATGCATATGAGAAAGGGGAACCTGAAGCAATTTGTGAAATTAGGCGGTTCCACCAAACCTCTATATATAATCCATATAGACCAACTATATAAGAAATTCATGAAGAAATATAAATTTCCCCAGGGTTATTACAGATTCCATCCCCTGATAAATTTTTATTGATTTGTACAGTTGGAACAGTGACAAATAGGGGATAGTGAATTATAGGTGAAGGTATTGGTAAATAAAATAAAAAAAAAAACCAATAAAAATTCTTGAGGTGGAACAAATTAAACTAGTAATTTCCTAACTTTTTAATTTTATATTTATTTAAACATGGCAAGTGAATTACTAGAAATTTTAAATTGTGTCACTAAGAAAATCAATTCTCATTTGTCACCTAAGCATTAACTTTTAATTCATAGAAATTCTAACTTCCAATACATAATTCAATTGAATGCGCACTCGAATTTTCAAGTGATTCACGAAATGCAAATGCAACTATACATGAAATCAAGAGTGATTTGGCCTCCCATTTGGTGTGATCATTCTCTTACTAATATCAACTGTATACTGACGTATATACTTTGTTTAAACTTGGAAAGTTGTTAATTATTGGAAGAAAATCCTTATATTGTGCCATCTTATCTTATCATAAAAGGGTTGTAGTCGAACTGAGTCAAGTATTCGGCTATTTTAGTTTGACTTGACTCAAAAACTCAGAGCTTGAAATTTCACTTGAGCTTGACCAAGTATTTTAGTAATTTGGTATCTAACATTTTTATAAAAAAAAATCCAAAATATACATATATACATGTCTATTTACTATTGTGTGAATATTTTGCATAGGAATTTTTTGGTAAAATTTTGAACATTATATTTACCATTACCTGGTTTAATGGTAAAACCTTGGGCTGGAAAACTAGAGATTACGTTGAATTGAATAGTATGTTGGTTTTGATTTTGCAGTTTTGTCCCCATTAATTGGGACTAGTTTTTGTTATATATTTTATAATTTAATAGGTAGTAAATAGGGTAAATTGCTGAAAATTGACTGTTTCAACGGTAAATTGACTTATAAATTTGCCATTTCCTATTACACCGACCATAAAATTCATAAAATTTGTGTTTTTCTAAAATTTATGTGTAGTTTGTTGAATTATATATATTTTTTGATTTTTTTTATGAATTTCATCATTTTCTTTGTTTTACTGCATGTTTACCTTTTTTTATTTGAGATATATAGTTTTTTGAAAAATTTATCATTTTATGTATTTTTTTCTGCAATTTTGGTTGAAATATATTTTTGAGAAAACTTATCATCTTTTATGTTTTTTTTTTGAAATATTGCCTTTTTTGTTAGTATTTTTTTTTATTTTGTCAATTTTTGTGTCTTGTATTTTTTTTTTTTTGTATTTTGAGAAAAATATTGAGTGTGTTGGATACACGGATAAGAAGTGAGTTAAGGTGGGTTCCAACTTATAACCCACTATTCAATTAAGACATAAATGACTCTTTTTAGGGTATTTTGGTCAGCTAGAATCTTTTACAAATCTCATAGCACTCCTCTAGAACAAATCTCAATGTTCAAGGAGGAAAATGACCTTGGGTGGGTAATTTCACTCAGCCCCCACCACCTGTCTAGCCTGGCTTTTGTGGATGGATATAGGAAGAAAATGACCTTGGGTGGGTTGTTTAGTTTCCAGATTTGTTTGTTTGAGGAATTCAAATTCATACTCATATTTTCAGTTTCCAAGGCATAAGCGCTTTTGCTTATAAACTTACCCTTTGGGGTTTGGTCTCCACATTATCTCATAAACTCCCAAGGTTGTTTCTTAGAGGATCTGTCCTAAAGTTGATATTATCCTCTATAATTCATCTCCTATTTTTCTATCCTAATCCTTTCTTTAATAACACCTTGGTTTGAAGGGTCCATCTCCAAAACCACGAAATTGGAGCAGAGGGAGGAATATTTGGTCCACTTGTCGAGACCCTGGTCCCAAGATGGTGATTCTTTGTATCTTCTTTGCTTGAAATGAGTTTACATAAGACCTCTCCAAACAACACAAAAATGTATGGTGACTACCAAATTCGTTGAGTATGGTGATACGTTGCATTACCCAGTTTATTCAATTCTCATGAAATCCCAAATTCCTCAAAGTTTATTTTTAATGATCTTCTAAATCCATTCTATCATAAGCTTTTTCTTTTTAGATTAGGATACCTTGTTTTCCTTTTTCCTCATACTAATCATATTCATCATAATCATCTCATGGAAAATGAGGATATTATCGGTTATTTGTTGCCTTGGTATGAATATGAATGCACTATGGTACGGGATTATTAGGTTGTTCAGATATGATTTGAGTCCATTGACAATGATTTTATAAATCACGTTACATGAAGTTGTCTATCCTAGTCAGATTTTCCTGTTTTGAGATTAGTGCAATAAAGTCTTATTTATGTATGTCCTTTTTCATTTTAACAGAATGAAAGAAAAGCCCTGATTATTTCCTCTACTACTGCTCCAATGATATTCCAGTATTTTGTGAAAAAGTAAGCATTTGTGCCATTTGATCCCCCATTGAAGAGAGCCGATATCCTCAATCAGCTTGTTTGGTTTCTTTTGAATTGCCATGTTCCCTACCTATTACCTGGGTTATGTTCCAACTAAGTCTAGGTTTCCTTGAGAAGCTCCAGAAGTTGCTTCTTCTTTTGTAAAATGTTCCCAAAGACCATCTTTTGATTTCTATTTCTTTTTTGTCCCTTACATTCTAGTCTTGTTCAATAATGGTTTTGATATCCGCATTCTCCCCCCATATTAGTTCAAACTGACAGAGAATTGGTTGCATTTTCGTTGTTAATTAGAAGGGGAATATGGTCCAAATTTAAGAAAGGGAGGATTTCAATGTAGGCACCTGGGTAAATGGTAACCCACCCTACGTTGATAACAGCTCTATGTAGTTTTTCATATATCCAGTTATTTCTCTCCACGTGTAATTATTTCCTCAACTCCATCTCTAAGAGATTACAATCCTCAATCATATTATTGAAGGGATTAACTTGGTTGGGGTCACTCTCCTTCTCCCTATCTTATCATTTTGGGTGGGATCTAATAGGGTTAAAATCCCCTACCACCAACCATGATCTTTGAGACAATTCCTTATCCATTTCCAATGATCCATTCATGGGAATTACTCCCTTTTTTATTCCAATTTGTATAACATTGCTTTGCTTCATTAAATGTCAAATCCCAATTAGTTTTATTGATTATCCTATTACTTCCTTCATCTGATATTGCCTTTCGATGCCTCTCTTTTTTCTGATCCCATTTCCCTGTGTTCTTGCTATGGCAAGTTATCCACTTCGTGTTCGGCTAAGGCCAATCTTGATACATCAGAAATTTTGGTTAATATTCTAACGTTCAATTAATGGAGGGGGTGTAAATCAACAATGTCAAAACGTTCAGGAAGGACATTACTATTGGTATAAAGTAAGGTATTGAACCGCAACTATCAGAAAATGCAGGAGAGGTTTCAGTAATTTATCCTAATAAATAAGATAATTTTGGTTACCAACACTTGTTTTATTAGAGTCTGGATTCAATCTTCACAAAATTTGTTTTCACACGATTCTCACAACACATACATGATACAATCATGCATTTGAAACATTTCTGTACTTATTTTTTTCATCCATGAGGAGATGTTTCCAATGCAAGGCTACAATCTATACAAGTGTTGTAGGAATGGCAACAGGGCGGCGTAGGGACAGGTTTTGCCTATTCCATCCCCAACCCCGAACTTAAATGCCTCACCCATCCCCACCTCGAACCTTGGTGGAGCTAAAAGTCCTAATTCATCTCTATCCCTGTGGGGAACAACATCCCTGAATTTGTCTTGTCCTGCCTCTAGATGGTATTTGAAAATCCGATTTCAAATTCGAGATTTTATATAATCGGATCGAATTCAGATAATTCAAATATTTAACCGGTCGAATTCGGATATCTTATTCATACTAAATAGCTAATCAGATTCGAATTCAAATTGAATCAAATAGAATATTCGAATATTTAATCACATTCAAATTCAAATATTAATTTTCAATATCTGTCGAATATCGAATCGAATTCAAATTCAAATATTACCTAATCCGATTTGAATTCGATCTGTTTACACGGACAAATTTGGGGCCGGGGTCAGGCTGGGGTGGACAAATACCAACTCCACCCGTCTCCGATCCCTAATCTTGGGTTTCCTCGAATCAATGGATCCAATAGAGATGGATCAAATTGTCACATCTAAATTATTTGTAAGGAGGAATATAAATTCAAATATATACAATATAAATTCATATAAAATAATACAAAATATAAGATTTTGCACATTACATATTTGTATTTGTAGTCCTTCCAAACTGAGCGTAAGTATTGAATCCGGATTCGTCTTATCAACGCATTTTGTCAAAAATAAAGTATTAAGTTATATGATAATTATAAATCTCAAGTATAATCGGGTCTACTCTGGTCTGATCTGATTCTCCCGATTAAGAATTGGGGCAATTCTAGATCTATCACATATTAATAATAGGTTCGAGACTGAGGTGCAGTCTGTCCCGAACCAGACCCGGCCCATACAGACATCTCTTGAACGACAGGATGAACAAAATTTTATACAGATAGCTCTTGAATGACAGGATGAACAAAATTTACATTCGGATATGGGCATAAACCGAAGACTCGACGAAAGTCCGAAAATTTCAAAATGCCCTAAACGTACAAGTTGACCCAATCAACTTCTTTCATGGGCAAATATTGCTTTCGCACTACAGGCGCACGGTAGCAGGTAGCATAAGGCCACCTCAGCTAAGCATGCAAAATGCAGTCAGCGGCTGCCTCCTCCGTCGCCTTGCTTCTGACCATTTCTTCATTTATCAATCTTCTCTCTCTCTCTCTCTCTCGTCGTTCGTTTTCTGCAACAAAACTGGTTAACCTATGCTGGAAAATTTCCCGCCTCCAAAATTACTAATCCACCCTAACTCAACCTCGGAAATTTCCATTCTGCCCCCCTACGCCGGAGCAACCATGGCTCCATCATCGAATGCGCCAGAGCAAAAGCTCTTCCAATTCAAAAGCTCCGTCGGAAAACGAACAGAGGCGCCGAGATGCCCCAGCTCGCCGTTACCCCCGCCGCCGAAGAAATACAAATCGTTGAAGGAGATAATGAAAACGGCTGAGCACAGGGTTCTCGACAGTGATTACGATGATGTGAGGTGCGAGGAATGCGGGTCTGGTGATCGACCGGACGAGATGCTTCTTTGCGATAAATGCGATAAGGGGTTTCACATGTGTTGTTTGAGACCGATCGTTGTTCGTGTTCCGATTGGCTCCTGGTTTTGCCCTAGCTGCTCTGGGGAGAGAAGCGTAAGAAGTAGGGATTTTCATTCTCTTTTATGCTTTTTGGTGTTTCCATTTTTGGTTGAGGATTGATTTCAATTTTTGGAACAAATGCAGTAATGGTTTTACATGCGCTGCTTCAGGTTTTCCGCTAAAGCAGACAAAGATTATAGACTTTTTTCGGATTCAAATATGTCTCGATACACCCGAGAAATGTTCTTCACCTCAAGGTGGTTATCATCCTAATCATCGTTGATGTCAACATTGTACTGTTAGTTTTGTAAAATCACCATTTTCTTTGCTAATGTAGCTTCTTCTTATTTCTTGGTTGGTTTTTTAATGGTTCTGATGATGATCATATTACGTTTCTTTTGAGAAACTTTATATAATTCATGGACGGAATGACAAGACATTGGCTATTTGTATCATTTGGATGTGTACAAGAGAGTACCAATTGGCGCCAGAATGAATTGTTGCAAGGAAGTTTAAATGAGTTTCTAGTCTAGGTGAACCACTTGCTGCACATCTATTAATAGTTTATGCATGAAGTGAGGTCTCTTGAGGATTGTTATTGCAAAAATCATGTGAAAATATTTTTTTTTATGGAGCATTTAGGAGGAGCCAAGGAGAGTGTTTTGGTCTTCTTGGAGATAGATCACACTCTGTTTGGAGCTCATTGAACTATTCACAATTAGAATTGTTTATTGAACCCTGACTCTCATGGAGTTCAAAGGCATGTAAGTGGACTCTGTAAACAGAGAGCAGTGTGTTAGTTCTGGAGTTTATTCCCCTATTGGATGGAGGTAGTAGAGGTCTTTTCCCTCCCTTAAGTGTTATTATAATTTGAAAGATATTGGATCATGTAGGACTATCTGGTTTCGATGGCATTTGTAAAACAATGAGTGTGGAGGTTCAATTATTCTCTGATCCTTTGGAATTGAGATCTTGGACCTGCTTCAGGGCCTATTCTGGTCTCCTGTCAGATTCAAGAGACTATGGTTGATGGAAAATTTTATGTGCACATTGGGTGGATTAGAGATGGATCTTGTGGGCCTTGGAGATTGATGCATTATATTAGAGATGCCAAATCTTTGGTACCCAGAAAGCACCCCTTGTTAGATGGGTTTAGAGTTTTGTTTGAGGAGTAATTTGTACTGAATGCTTCCTTTTCTGAAGTGACTTGTAGGTTGTATATTTTCCATAGTGCCATCCACATGTTAGGCCTTTACATTGGATGGTTGCATTAGCCAGATGTCTTCCTTTAGAAGGGTTTAAAGAATCAGAGTTGTCAACATTGTTGACTAGTCATTGTGGCCTCCTCAGGTCATGTGGTGACCAGTTGGTGCCTTAGCACTCACTAGTTGACCTTGACCATATAAAGGATATGTTTTAAATTTAAGATCTTGATGCAATTTCATATATAAGTTAATACAAATATACAACAAAAGAGATGATATTGAACATTTAGTATGCAGTCTTCATTTCACAACCATGAAAAAAAAGAGAGACTGGACACATTTGTAAATCAAATGGTTTGGGTGGAGATGGAACTCATATTTGGAGCATATTTGTAAAATCTGAAGGAAATGAAAAGGGGTAGAGATAAGACTCCCTATCTCTAAAATGAACACTCATATATATGCTTGGATTTTATCTCTCTTTATTAATAAATAAAATTTGATTGTTACTGATCAGGAAAAAAAAAAGACTGGTGTACTGGACAAGCTGAGGATATGGTTTGACAGTCTTTGTTTACTAAAGAAACAATTCAACCTTGACCATCTGATGGTATCTCCTTGTTTGTGGCAACTCCGTTATCAGGATGCCACTAATTGGAAGAAGACCTAATAGAACTTTTCCTCCATTTTTGTTCTTTTATTTTGTGATTCTCACTCAGTGACGTGCCACTGCAAATGCTTAAAGTAACTATTATGCATGTTACAAAATAAATATGTATATTACATTATTTTAAACAGTTTCAGATAACCACATAGAAAAAAAGGCATGCATAGTATTGTTTGAAGTAGTTAGAGATAAATAGCTTTGTGGTTTACTAGGCCAATTCGGCTGCCCTGTTGGTAGTTGATGTAGTCCCAGTCAATGCTTAGTCATTCTGGGCAACCACATCATGTTTATTGACTGACTAGTTAATACTGCCTTTAGTATGGCTCTCAAGTGACTAGTTGGCAACTAGTCGACATTTTCACTGTGAAGTATTACTCAATCCCACCCACACCCTAAGATGCATGTTCATACAGCTGTATTTTGATGAAACCTTTGTTACCACTAATCAGAAAACGAAAGCTTTCACACTTCTATGCAATTAAAGGTTTGTAAATTGAAGTAAGATAATATATGTATATTTTAAAGGAGCATTTTTTCTTTTTAACATGCCTTCTAATCTGTTTTGAAGCAGCCTCTGGTTTGACGATTAACCTCACAAGAGATGAGCCGATACCTGTAGTATATTTACCAGATATTGCTGGTCTAGCTATAATGTTGGGCTGTAGGGTGGGTGTGTTCTCATCCAAGTTTTCAGGACTCTCTCTGGGGACCAATTTCAAATCAACAACAGTTTGGAACCTATTATAGAGAGGTTCCAGCGGAAATTGGCTAGTTGGAAGCACAGCTGTTTGTCAATAGGGGACAAACTGGTCTTAATTCAATCGGCATTGTCAAACTTGCCAACTTATTTCCTCCAAATTCTCCATCCCCAGTTCAGTTGCCAATGCTTTGGAGAAGCTTCTTTGGAAATTTTGGGAGGGTCCAAATAAGGAGAAGTTTTATTTGGTATCTTGGGACCTAATGTGTGAACATAAGAAGAATGGGGTCTGGGAAAGAAAATGAGTGAGGCTTTGCTGTGCAAATGGTTGTAGTGGTATGTTATTGAAAAGGAACATCTGCGGAGGCAGGTGATTAGGGGGAAATGTGGGACTGTGCCTATGAATTGGGCATCATTGCCTCCAAACGAGACGTATGGCTCATCTATTTGGAAAGGAATCATGCAGCACAAAGAGATTTTCTTAAGATTTATCAATCTGGTTCTGAGCAACGGGAAGCGTACCCTCTTTTGGAAGGACTTTGTGGTATGGGGATCAACCCTTCTTCTCTGATGCTTTTTGTAGGCTTTTCTCAATTGCATCCAGTATAGAAGCCATGGTGGCTGGTTGTTTTGAAATATCAGAGGAACAGATTGGTTTCCTTTGTTTGAATTTAATTTCCAGGATTGGGAGTGGGATGCTCCTTGTTGGTGAGTCCTCGGTCACATCCTATCTCATAGAGATGGATTTGGAAAGTCAACGTTCCATCTTTATTATATAATTTTTCTGTTGCTTATAAAAACAAAGTCAAGGTTCTAACTAAACTCAGTTTCTTCATATGGACGGCCACATATGACATAATCCTTACCATTGACCATTTGAACCATAAGGGAATATACGTTCCTAATGTGTGCTGTCTTTATGGGTTCAACAAGGAATTGAGAAGCCACATCTTCATCCAGTGTCAGGTAGCAGCAGATTTGGTCATATTTTCTGCAGACATTTAGGAAGACTTGGTTACACCAGTGGATTTACAAAGTCCCCTACAAGCTTGGGATTTTAATGGGTTTAGTCATAGAGGTGTAAGCTTATGGAAGCTGCTCCTTTTGCTGTGTGCCGGATTTTATGGAAGCAATGAAATAGCAGGGTTTTTTACTCTAAGGCATCTTCAGTTCTGGATATCTAGAGTAAAACTGAGAGGCTATTGTTCTGCTGGGCTTGGGCTCTTTCATAGCTTTCATGGTTCGAGCTTTGATCAGCTTAGTTCAAACTGTTCATCTATTATTCTTGATGCAGTCTAGGTTTCTCTTTTTTTGGGTATTTAGAAGATGTTTATCTTGTACATGGCTTACAGAATATACTCTGCCATACTTTTTATGCATTGAGGGGGCTTCCTGTTTATAGTAATATTACATACATCACTTTTTTTGATGAATGAATACACACATCACTTTTCAAAGACAAAAAAAAAAAAAAAACAGAGAAAAAGAAAAAGATAATATGCATGTGTTACAACCTTGATAATAATATTCATAGAAATGGGATATTAGGAGCATGCAGACACTTCAGAATGAGTATTGTCTCCTTGCCAGGCACTTCAATATTTTATAATGACCATAGAGGAGGTTAGGTTGTTGGGATTTAAGTGAAGGTACTCTGGGGTATTTGATAGAATGCACACAAAAGAATTTAAAATATGTAATATTGCATTTTTGAGAAAAGGTAACGAAATTTATACTACTGATACAATATAAAGCCAATAAGTTGTATGGAGCAAGGTTTGGGGAAATTAATAAGTAATATATCCATAGATAAGTGCGATGAAGTTCAGGATGTTGAGATGGATTGGCAAGGCTAGAAAGGATAAGATTACAAATCAACTTGAGGAGCATATTCTTAGGCATTCAAGGAGTACTAAGTCCATAAAATGAATGTAGCAGAGATACAGGCACTGAGATGGATGAGTAGCAGGACTAGAAAGTACAAAATCAGAAGTAAGTGCATTTTTTATTAGTAGCTCCAAGTGTCCAAATAGCTAATAGAATGAGAGAAAATAGACTTAAGATGGTCTGGTTATGTGCATAGAAAACCACCCATTTCATCACTAAGGAGTAATATGATGCAAGTAGTGGGTTTTAAGGGACTTATGGGAAGAATATAAAGGACATGGGTTGAGATAGCAAGAAAATAATTGGGGAGCTCATAACTTAATGGAGATGATATAGCCCTGGATGGAATATTGGGGGGGGGGGGGCGGATTTTCTTATCCTACCCCAGATGGTTTGGATGAGGTTTTGTTCAGTTGGCATTTGTTGTTTTAGACATTATTTTTTCTTGTCTTTTTGTTTCAGATCTATCTTGAAATCATTCTAGATTTTAAGTTCATTTTTATTCTGGTTCAATATTTTAAGATGTTTAATTTGTTTGGTTTAACTTGCATTTCCCCCTATGTTTTCTATTTTATTACATCTTTTCATCCTCTTGCTTGATTTTCAGATTCTAGGAAGCGCAGGAGACGTTCTGTACCTTTAGTAATGTATAAGAAAAGGAGGAGACTATTGCCATTTAATCCCACAGAAGATCCAGAGCGGAGGCTAGAACAAATGAGTTCCCTTGCTAATGCTTTAATGACATTGCACATGGAGTTCAGCAATGACCTAACATACATGCCCGGCATGGCCCCAAAATCAGCCAACCAGGCCAGGTTTGAAGATGGTGGCATGCAGGTTCATACTAATGCTTTTTCTTGGAATTTTTTATGGCTTAAGATTTGCAAGAAACTTTGTCAATATTTTCTTTTTCCAGTTTAGAATGTTAATTACACTGGGGAAGTTTTTTGCATTAGGTTCTCTCTAAGGAGGATATAGAAACATTAGAGCATTGCAGAGCAATGTGTCGAAGAGGAGAATGGCCTCCCCTTTTAGTGGTTTTTGATTCGTGTGAAGGGTATTTCCAATATTCTACTGCTGTTTTGTTGGTTATTTAGCTACTCTAATATAGCTAACTAAGCAAATGTATATATTTTGATGCAGTTTCACAGTGGAGGCTGATAGTCATATAAAGGATATGACACTTATTACGGAATATACCGGTGATGTTGATTACATTAAGAACCGTGAAAATGATGATTGTGATAGCATGATGACCCTCCTCTTAGCAAAAAATCCATCAAATAGCCTTGTTATCTGCCCTGATAAACGGGGAAACATTGCCCGCTTCATTAATGGCATCAATAATCATACACCGTAAGTGTACCCCATTTAATGTTATTCTATGTATTTTCTTTTATATACAATCTTTGACCATCTATGGAATCCTTGTGGTAGATCCATAAAAATAAAGAAAACCCTAAATTATTATCCAATGTTTATCTGATTTAAAAATTTATTTATTTCCATTTGAAGATTTCAAAAGTAATTCTATTTATCAATTTGTTGCAGGGAAGGTAGGAAGAAGCAGAATTTAAAATGCGTCAGGTATAATGTAAATGGTGAATGCCGAGTCCTACTGGTTGCCATTCGTGATATTGCCAAGGGTGAAAGGCTATACTATGACTACAATGGATATGAGCAGGAATACCCGACTCATCATTTTATCTGAGTTTGCTTATGACTACAATTTTACCAAATGAATCTGAAATTGATACCAAAAATCTAGATTTTCAAGGATGTTTTTTGGTCTAGGTTTCCTGATGATTCTTACACAGCTTACTCAATATTGTTTCTGCTGAAATCAGCATCATGCCCTCTCTAATTATTTCAACTTGAAACAAGTACTGTACATTTAATATGTAAATCTGGCCCATTTCATGGCCATGAGAAAAAAAGAAAGGGTTTACAAGAAGATTGTTATTCAGAATTTCATGAATTAATTATTTGGAATTGTTGATGTAAGAAAATGCTTTTCCAAATCAATGGTTTTACTTGTTGTAATTTGTAATCAGCATTATCTTCTATTATTATTTCTTATTGGATATGCCTAATATGAAATGCTGGCCCATCGTGGTCATGAGAGAAGCAGATTGACTACAGAATGTTCTTTTGTCATTTTGTAAAACAAGGAATTGCCAACAAGTTTGTATGCTCTTTTATAAAACTTTATATTTTGGTTTTTGGAAAATGTCTTTTCAATGCGGTGTCACGGTTGTTGATTGTTGTCACTCTTTGGGATTATTACATTTCATTCATGTTGGCATTCATTGCAGTGCAGCTATTTTGGAGGCAAAATATGGCCTTCCATGTAACCGCTTGAAAAAAAAAAAAGAAAAGAAAAGCTTGGCTTCCCATATTGAGATAAGGATTTGATGTATGGTCATGGTGTTATCTATATCCCGAGCACTGTTGTAAAGATTTCTATAACAAGTACAGACGATCTGTGCTAATACAGGGCAATTTCTGGCCAAGCATCTGATACCGGTGATGCTGTAAATGAACAACACAGGCCGACATGTCTAGTGGAATCTTAGCACTATTTTGGAGGTGTTGGGGGAGAAATATATGCCTTCTAAATGCCAACTCATTTTCCATATTCGCCCATGGCCATGGGGTTTGATCAGCTGGGCTGTGCTCTGCATTGTGACCCAGGTTTCAGGCCCGAAACTTAAGCCTGGATACAGGCATGCATAAAGTCTTTAGGTGTATTGGTCAAGCACGTAACAAATGATATAAAAGCCTTCCACCACATCTCAAATTCAAATCATGGAGAAGTTTACATTCACCGTAGAGTGAGCTGTGGTGGACTGGAGAGGGCTACTTACTACTTGCTATTTGAAGTGAGAGCTTCCTAGAGTGAAGCCACCGAAATGTCGGAGGTATGTGGTACGTTACGGTCTTAAATATTAAAAATGCTTGGTTTGTCGTGTTTCATTAGTTTTAAAGCCATACACTTTTAACATTCAACATTACCACACTGTAATATTTAGCCCCTAAACCTCCATTTGGAACAAAGATCCCCCTGAATTTTCAGATTCCAACACTTCGCCCCTTCTCATGTGAATTTCATGTGCTTGTTAAACTTTTTAAATTCCCAAACTACCTTTTTGTTGGATTATTTTTCCCTCTCTTACATGACTGTATATAACCTTTACTTCAAAGTGGACGGGAAAAAGGCCTTGCCCATTTTTACCATTTTAAAATATTGTGTTTTCGCTCACATGAATGAATCTTGAAATGGCATGTTGTCAATCCAGTTAACAGGGAGAGGGAAATGGAGATGTCACATACCCGCTAATGGGTCATTAGTGGGCCCACTTATTGAATGTGGTTTCAATTAGAAGAATTATGTAGTGCGTGCTTTTCTATTAGTTGTTGGGCTATGCAAGTAGTGGAGAGCCATGTGGCCCCAGCTGTGAAGTTTGTTGGTAACTTGGTTCTTATTTTTGGGGTCAGTTAGTAGTGGGAGAGTGTCATGGTTAGTCACATAACATAATGGGTTATGGGTAGTTGGATGAATCTGTTAGAGGAGTCTGTATTTATACTTCCTTGCTCTTTGAAAGCTTATCAATTGAAGAATTTTCCTTACAACCATTCGTTTTTTATTGAAGGTCTCTCGTCTCCCTCGAAGCAGACGAAACTCACGTTACGTCCCTAACCGGGTTCGTAACAATTGGTATCAGAGACAGGCGTGGATCCCGGTTTTGAGCGCAGGCTTTCTCAACTACATTCAAAGGTTCGATTGTTGGTTGCTGGCCAACAGCAAATGATGGAATGTTTCAGACAGATGTCTGATTCCCTCATGGCTCGTTTTGATCAATTGGAAGCTGTCTTCGGCAAAGAAGAAGAAACCATTGTGGAGGTCACTTCTTTCTCCTCTGATTTTCGGAAAAGGAGTACTCCAGGCTCCAAAGTCTACTCGTCATCCTCGTGACTCCTTAGTCATTCGCTCATCAACCCCGATTCAGAAGTTCCATAGTGTTCCATCTCGATCTTTACCATCTGCATCGCTTCATTGCCATCAGAAACCTAACTCTAACACTACTTTGTCGTTTCAAATGGTACCTATTGATCCTCATTCTTTCACCTTTTCCACCATGAATCACATGTTCGAAGGCCTGTCAGTAAGATTAGACCACTTAAAGGAGATGTGCGAAGTCACACATCATTGCTGCAGTAGTGAACAGTTTGTTTCTGCCATGGCAACTAAAGGAGATGCTACTACAATGATTACCAGCAATCGGTGGAGCTCAAGACCAGAACGTTCACCTCCCCTCTCTCCCTTCTTATCTGAAGAAATCTCCCAGGGGAGTAGTAATTCCATAAGCAGTAAGCTCTGTGAGTTGGAGAATTGTGCTTGGGTTTCAGCTCAGTCCTATAAAGGAACCGACCCTTATGAAGCCACAATCAGGTTCGACATCACCTCTCACTACCACATGAACCAAGGCATTGATCTACAACGAGAGCTTATCAAATTTTTAAATGCCAACATCATCACCGGAGACGAAAATTAACATAGAGCTGGCGTGATCATCTCCAAAACTTTCGAAACAGGGAAGGGAATGAAGTTTGTAGGGACAAGAACTTAGTTCTGCGCTATCAAGTTAAGATGATGGAGGAAGGGAGCATTCCCTGGGACCCACCTTGGACAATGGGAAATCGTTCAATCTCCATTCATTTGTACCCCGGTTTTCTCCATGACACCATTGACGCTGTGCTTGATGGCATCGCAGAGAGTGAGAAACAAGTATTCACTTTTGATGATTTCCATTTGTCTCTGATAGTTAAATATGATCTCAACCACGTTAACCACAACGACGATGCTGGAAAGAATAAAGCTGCAATCACCACCTATTCTAATTCTGCCCTTGAAGTTCCTACAACCAATTCTAGGCCTGCTGGTTCTGGCAACCTAGATGAAGAAGACGTGGTCCATGCCATTGTCAAGGCTGGTCAAGCAGTACAGTGTAGTCTTTCGGTTGCATCATCCCTTATTTGTTCACTTCCGGCAATGAGTTTTTCTATGGATGTTAATATTATGAACTCTCAACGCACCAGGTGGCTCACAAAAGAGTATGCTGGAAAAAAGGCAATTACGAGGAAGTTGATTGGAGAAGGAATCCAAGAAAATCCGGTCGCTCATGTCCCTCCTTGGACTCTCGTTGGTGATACTTCACGAGGGTGAAGTTTCCTCGCACACTGGAGCAGCTACGAGTGCCACCCCGACATTGTCCAAAGACGTCTGTGTTGCTTCAGTTGTATGACCGATCACCACTCTGTCAAAACTGGAATTCTTCCTTCCAAAAGATGGGCTGAAATTCATGTCCCCACCATCGGACTCGGCATCCATGTCACTTAACATCTCATCACTCAGACTTTTGGATTCCTACTCGGTCAATTATGTGGTCACATCTATCCACCGGTTAAAGATTGGAGGAGCAAAGGCATTTCTACGGTCAAGTTCAAGGCAACCAATGCGACTCCAACTAGCTTTCAAGAGTTCAGTCAGGCTTCTGTTGTGGAGTTTTGTAATATGAATGGTCACAAGAGCAGAAAGACAACAATGATCACGATTGATGACCTAAGAAGAGTCGGAACCTTTGGAGGTTTACTCCTCCTTCCACTGGATCGCTCACTTGCAGATACTATGGCGAAATCAATATTGGGAGAAGATTGATGATTTAGCGGATCAGTTAAAGCCAAAACGATGGGGAATTCTGAAGTCCAAATCAAAGAATTTACTCGATTCTGGTGGGTAGAAGAAAATGATGGGGGTGATTTCCAGCTTCGTCAACACGTCTCTATTAGTCCATCACGCTCTGCATAGTTCCACTTGGACAAACCAGCTTAAGATTGTTCCATTACAGAGGGAAATAACGTTGCCTAGCAATTGCTGCTCGAGGTCAATTGAGGACACTGAAACAGAAGCAGAGAAATCCAAACCTCCACCTCATAATATTTCTACATACGATGGCGGGGGAACTTGCACCGGCATTCTTAACAGTGATTGTGCTATTGCTCTTCTTCCATTATTTGCTGAGATAACAATAGAATCAAGCTCTTGGTTTCTTGTTCTCGAAAGGCATCTACAATCCCTATATGGAGCTTTGTGGAACGTCTTGGAGTATTCGCCTACGCTCCATAATGGGAAGTTTGAGCAGCTTCACTTTTCCGAAGCCCTATGAGATGACCCGGAACTGCCTAGCTCTTATACTGGGAAACCAAGTAGAGGACTCTTGCACGGCTGCTAGGATACATAAGAGATCTACAAGCATGGATCGAGGACCCCACCTGAAGTTATTTACAAAAACAGCTGATTGGATTCAACCACAATCGTGGGAAGAACATGGAGGAGTCACATGCATTATAAGGCTGCGTTTGTTTCGTTGAAGCTTGGACCTTGAGGACATGGTCCATTTTAAGGGGGTGGGAATGTCACATACCCACTAATAGGCCATTAGTGGTCCCACTTATTGAATGTGGTTTAAATTAGAAGAATTTTGGGGTCAGTAGTGGGAGAGTGTTAACGGGTTATGGGTATTTGTATGAGTCTGTATTTATACTTCCTTTCCTCTTTCAAAGCTTATTAATTGAAGAATTTTCCTTAAAACCGTTTGGTTTTTATTGGACATCTCTTGTCTCCCTCGAAGCAGGCGAAATTCGTCCCTAACCGGATTGCAAATGAAATCTGAAAGTTCAAAAAGTCTTTATTGCAAATGAAAGTTTAGTTACAAGTTCTTGGATTTCGTTGTTCCCCATTGCTCATGTCAGATACCTGGGCCATGTTTAGTTCAATTGTCATTCTTTCTCATCCTTGTTCAAAATGAAATTTTAAGATGGAAAAAAAAAGAGTAAAAATAGAAAAAATTAGAAAACATTGCTACGAATCAAATGCTTTTTTTCTCAAAAAAAAAAAAAAACTTTTTTACAGCAACAACGAGAGTAAAATTTGTAACCTGTTTGGTCTGATTACAAATTTCATTTATATTTGTTTTTTCATTAATTAAAATAATAACATATATAGATATAGATACAACACTAAATGGCAAATATATATCTTAGAATCATGTGGGTCCCACAT